CATGTTTGTCATTTAGATAATTGATTAATTTCATCGGGCTTGATCGATAGATATAACTGTGTATCATCTGCATAGCAATGAAAGTTAATGGAGTGATCCCTAATAATGTTGCCTAAAGGAGCATATATAAAGTAAATAGTATTGGTCCAAGTACAGAACCTTGTGGAACTCCATGACTAACTGTCGTATTTATGGAAGATTCATCGTTAACATGTACAAACTGAGAACGATCTGATAAATATGACTTAAACCAGCTTTGTGCGGTCCATTGTCAGAAGCAATCAGAAGGTCATTATTAACTTTAACCAGAACTGTCTCTGTGCTGTGATGAACTCTAATTCCTGACCGAAAATCCTCAAATAAACTATTGTTATGTAAAAAGTCACACAACTGTTTGGCAACTACTTTCTCCAGAATCTTAGAGAGGAAGGGGAGGCTAGAGATCGGTCTATAGTTGGCTAAAACCCCTGGGTCAAGAGTGGGCTTTTTAAGAAGGGGTTTAATTACAGCTACTTTAAAGGACTGTGGTACATATCCTGATAATAAAGAAAGATTAATCATATCCAGTAAAGAAGTGCCAATTAAGGGAACGACTTCTTTAAGCAGCCTAGTTGGGATTGGGTCCAACAGACAGGTTGATGGCTTTGTTGAAGAAATTATTGAAGTTAACTGATGAAGATTGATAGCAGAAAAACAGTCTAAATATATAGCTGAGTTTACATTAGCTAAAGTTCCTGAACCTGGAGAGCCAGTGATACCTGTTGAGGGCATTTGCTTATTAATTTTGTCTCTAATAGTAATAATTTTATTATAAAAGAAGCTCAAAAAGTCATTGCTACTTAAGTTTATGGGGATATGTGGCTCAATAGAGCTGCGACTCTCTGTCAGCCTAGCTACAGTGCTGAAGAGGAACCTAGGGTTATTCTTATTTTCTTCTATTAGTGTTGAGTAATAGGCTCCTCTGGCATTACGGAGGGCCTTTCTATAGGTTTAATATTTAATTTGGAAGAGCGCCATTTCCTTTGAGCTTTCCTTGCTTTTTGCTTTAATTGGCAGGTTTGGTGGTTATACCAAGGTGCTAGTCTCCTATGTTTTAATAATTTCCTTTTTATAGGAGCGATAGAATCTAAAAGTGTTGTTGTTTAGTGTTGTTGTTCAGAGTTGTTCTGTAGTACTTGTATGTTTTTCAGTCCTCAGTCTGGTCCTCAGGCAGTCCTGCAGTGTGATCTTGGCTGTTAGAGGATCAGCAGAAACTCTGCAGTGTTTTCTGAGTCCTGGTCGCCCAGATGAAGTCAGATTTGGATTGTAGTTTTTTATGGTCCTGGTCTGTGCTCAGCGGTCTTATTTCAGTCCTGGCTGAGGCTCCAGCTCATGATGGACTCTGTGAAGTTTGCAGGTCTTTGTTGTGGCTCGGTGTGGAACCGGCTCTCGGCCTGTGGGGGTCTGGCTTCAATATGTGGCTGTGTTGTGTACTGGCATTGTGACGCTGCGGTGAGGGAGAGCAGACTCTCTGAAGTGTACCTTCACTTAGCCGTTCTATTTCTTCCTCCTGCCGCTTGCCACAAAACATCCACAGGCTTCAGATTTCAGGCTCCACGTCTGGCCGACCTTCGACAGCACAAACAAACCTCTGCTGTGACCTCGGACGGGCGGGGACACGTTCCTCGTAGGTTTAGAGTCAATCAGGTGGGCGGAGATAGTCACAATGTTGATGCTGATGGTTAATGTGAAAAATTTATTTATTTAGAACAATTTACAACATCAGTTTGTGTACAAACAGTCAGGACACAGATGGTTGTAGCTGTGGCAGGGTATGCCACTCTGACCTCCAATGAGCATTCATATTTAATGTGTGTAATGTTTCCTGTCTCATCTTTAGAGTCCAGATGAAATGAAAACTGTCATCTTAACCCTTTAAGATCACATCCTCAATTATATTGATCCCCTATTTACTAATGTGTGACAAACAATTCACAATTTTTGTATTTTTATATAAAATCCAGTCATTGTGTCTTCCTGTTAACTAAATGTGATGCGTGTTTACATCAGCATGAACTAACTGACTTCAACCAATAATATCCTGACATTAACCTGTCAATCAATCTTCAACTTTTAGCCACACAGAGCGAAGATTCATTAGTTAGCTAGCTAGCTAACAGCATGGAAGGAAGTTTTTCCTTGCCGCCGTCGCCAAGGTCTTGCTCATGTTGGGTCTATAATGTTATAAGGAGTTCAGTCTAGACCTGCTCTATTTGAAAAGTGTCCTGAGATAACTTCTGTTACAAATTGGTGCTATACAAATAAAACTGAATTTAATTGAATTGAATGGCTAGCTATCTAACAGCATGGCTAGCTACTGGAGCTCACTGTTTACTGTACAAACACACAACTTTATTATCACTGTACAAACACACAACTTTATTATCACTGTACAAACACACAACTGTATTGCTCGTACTGGTATCTAAGAGGGTTAGGGTTCAACGTTTAAATCCTAAAAGAAAATCTTTCCATTATTAACATCAGCAAACAGCCGTTTCTGTACGTTTTTATATCATCTTTGTTATTCGCAGCCTATGACCTTATTTTACAATTTAGATTTATATGAAATAGGTAGAAATAAATAGCAAGAATATTGTGTGAATATGAATAATAAGGATAGATATTGCTCTACTCCAGCAATCAATAACTGATATAGTCATTATAGTTTATTTAGTCTCAGTAGTTATTAAATAATGATCTATGAATTGTGTTAATGTGTTCATATTTGTTCAAATATCAGTTAAACAATGAATACGTTTAAAATAAAAACACATTTTTATTCTTTTATTGTTACAGAAAACAGATCATTACAAATCAAATCATTACCCTCTAAAATAAAATATGATAGAAAGCATTAAAGTAAAACATAATAATATGTGATATATTCTGAATTGAGCTGTTCTGCACTATAAGTCCTTTTAGTTTTGGTAACTGAACTCATGAGGAACATTTTACATTCAAACAGAACATTTAAAAATCTACAGTTTCCTTTCAGTTCATTAATATTGTAAATAAATCATATTTAATGTAATAACTGTAATAATATTTACAGTTGAATCTGTTGATGTCTTCAGTTCAGACGTTTACAGATGATCTCAGATCAGCTGTGGGCGCTGTCGCTTCACCTCAGCTTCATCCTCCTCCTCCTCCTTCTCCTCCTCCTCCTCCTCTTCCAGGATCTGTCCCCTGAGCCTGAACGAGTCAATGATCCTGACCCAATTAGTGGGAGCCTCCCAGGCGAGGAGGGGGGACACCATCATGGTCCAGCTCCCATTTCCTGTCAGACCCCCACTCGGGAAAATGAGATGCTAATTAATTAGCATTGGCATTGTCAACCGCACGCTGCAGCTTGTGTAGAGACATCAGTTCACATCAGTCCTCCGCTACACGCTACAGTCCTGATCCTGAACACGCTACAGTCCTGATCCTGAACACGCTACAGTCCTGATCCTGAACACGCTACAGTCCTGATCCTGGACACGCTGAGACCTTCCTATGAATATTATCAGGAAGGTCTTTGGCTGCAGTTCCTCTACCGTCCTCTAGAGGCTCCAGCAGTGAGTCAGTCTCCATAAGGCTCCATAATACTTTTATACACCTTTAATTATAATAATATTGATTAATATTACACTGAATTAAGGGGCGTGGCCTCTGTGAGTGAAAGGTGGGTGCCATGAGGCTGGTTTCAGGCCTCATTAAGCTCTGCCTCTTTAACCATTGTTGTTTATTACACTGACTGTTTATTACACTGACTTTTTGTTGCACAGACTGTTTATAATGCCGACTGTTTATTACACAGACTGTTTATTACACTGACTGTTCATTACACCGACTGTTTATAATACTGACTGTTTATTACACAGACTGTTTGTTACACAGACTGTTTATTACACAGACTGTTTATTACACTGACTGTTTATTAAACTGACTGTTCATTAAACTGACTGTTGATTACACTGACTGTTGATTACACTGACTGTTGATTACACTGACTGTTTTTTACACTGTATAGCGCCAATTCATAACAGAAGTTATCTCAGGACACTTTTCAAATAGAGTAGGTCTAGACCGAACTCCTTATAATATTATTTACAGAGACCCAACAGTACCACCATGAGCAAGCACTAGGCGACAAGGGCAAGGAAAAACTGCCTGTTAAAAGACAGAAACCTAGGACAGATCCTCCGGCTCTAGGTGGGTGGTCGTCTGCCTCGACCAGTTGGGGTGAAAGAGAGAGAGAGAGAGAGAGAGACAGACAGACAGACAGACAGACAGGTGCACAGCAACAACAGTATTGGCAATAGCAATCTAGCAGGACCATGGCAGGAGGCTCCACCAGGATCGACAAGAACCTGCGAGACGAGAAAGCACAAGAACCGGGGAAGAAGTGAAGTTAGTAACATGCATTAATGGGACATGAATGAGTGCAGAAAGAGAGAGGAAGAGAGGAGCTCAGTGCACCATGGGAAATCCCCCGGTAGTCTAGGCCTATAGCAGCATAACTAAGGGATGGTTCAGGACTCACCTGATCCAGCCCTAACTATAAGCTTTATCAAAGAGGAATGTCTTAAACCTACTCTTGAATGTGGTGAGGGTGTCTGCCTCCCGAACCACAACTGGAAGCTGGTTCCACAGGAGAGGAGCTTGGTAACTGAAGGCTCTGGCTCCTGTTCTACTTTTAGAGACTATAGGAACCACAAGTAGCCCAGCATTCAGAGAACGTAGTGTTCTAGAGGGGTAATAGGGTACTATGAGCTCTTTAAGATATGAAGGGGCCTGACCATGAAGAGCTTTATAGGTGAGGAGGAGGATTTTAAATTGTATTCTATATATTACAGGGAGCCAGTGCAGAGAAGCTAGTACAGGAGAGATGTGATCTCTTTTTCTAGTTCCTGTCAGTAATCGTGCTGCAGCGTTCTGAATTAATTGGAGCGTCTTCATGGACTTATTGGGGCAACCTGATAATAAAGAGTTGCAGTAATCCAGCCTTGAAGTAACAAATGCATGGATTAGTTTTTCTGCATCTGTCTGTGATAGTATGTGTCTAATTTTTGTAATATTACGTAAATGAAAGAAGGCAGTCCTAGAGGTCTGCTTCATGTGGGAGTTAAAAGACAAATCCTGATCAAAGATAACTCCAAGATTCCTGACAGTGGTGCTAGAGGCCAAGTTAATGCCATCTAGAGTAACTATATCTTTAGACAGTGAGTCTCTAAGGTTTTTGGGGCCAAGAACAAGAATTTCGTTTTTTTCTGAGTTTAACATCAGAAAATTGCAGCTCATCCAGGATTTTATGTCCTTAAGACATGTTTGTAATTTAGATAATTGATTAATTTCATCGGGCTTGATCGATAGATATAACTGCGTATCATCTGCATAACAGTGAAAGTTAATGGAGTGATTCCTAATAATGTTGCCTAAAGGGAGCATATATAAAGTAAATAGTATTGGTCCAAGTACAGAACCTTGTGGAACTCCATGACTAACTGTAGTATTTATTGAAGATTCATCGTTAACATACACAAACTGCGAACGATCTGATAAATATGACTTAAACCAGCTTAGTGCGGTTCCTTTAATGCCAATTTGATGCTCAAGTCTCTGTAAAAGAATATTATGGTCAATGGTGTCAAATGCAGCACTAAGATCTAATAATACAAGTACAGAGACAAGTCCATTGTCAGAAGCAATCAGAAGGTCATTATTAACTTTAACCAGAGCTGTCTCTGTGCTATGATGAACTCTAAATCCTGACTGAAAATCCTCAAATAAACTATTGTTATGTAGAAAGTCATACAACTCTTTGGCGACTACCTTCTCCAGAATCTTAGAGAGGAAGGGGAGGTTAGAGATTGGTCTATAGTTAGCTAAAACCCCTGGGTCAATGTGTGTTTATGACACTGACTGTTGATAACACAGACTGTTTATTACACTGACTGTTTATTACACTGACTGTTTATTACACAGACTGTTCATTACATCGACTGTTTATTACACTGACTGTTTATAATACTGACTGTGCATTACACCGACTGTTTATTATACTGACTGTTTATTACACCGTCTGTTTAAAACACAGACTGTTTATAATACTGTTTATTACACTGACTGTTTAAAACACAGACTGTTTATAATACTGACTGTTTATTACACAGACTGTTTATAATACAGACTGTTAATTACACTGACTGTTTATTACACTGTGTATTACACTGACTGTTTATTACACCGACTGTTTATTACACCAACTGTTTATTACACAGAAGATAAAATAGTTAAAACTCCTCATTGAATCTGATGTTTTCAATAAATATGAAATTGTTTTTTAATTAATTAATTCATTTATTATTCATTTTAATTTTAAATTATACAGTTCTTCTTTCTTCTGACACAAAGTGGCCGATCAGTAAAAACATGTGAAACCTCCATTAACGGTAGAACATGTGAAGATTTGTCATCATCAAAGGCAGAAAGAAAGATTTTCTTTCCTTCAGTGAACATTGCTGACGTTTCAGATTTGAGGCGTATTTGAAGTAAAATGTGACTTTTGTGGCTCAGAGATGATAATTATTCATAATGATTGTGTCAGTGTGGATGAACATCAGGCTCATAATGAGCTGCAGGAATATTCGCACTGCAATAATGACACATGGCAGCCCAAGATGTCGGCCATCACAGCGGATTAACCGCCAATGAGTCCCCGAAGGTGGCGGATCCTGATTCCAACCTCGTTAACTGAAAACCTGTCAGTGACACGACGAGTTTAACCCGACAACACAGATCGTTTACTGCCGGTCGGAGGTCAGATGTTCACTGAAAAGCTCCTGTTAAAGCTTCAAGCTTTCAAATATGAGACGTTACAACAGAAAGAATCTAACCTTATTATATTATATATATTATATATAAAACAATGGAACCAGAGTAAACTGATAGTACTGATTTAATAGTTTATTAGAGGTGAAATGTTCAACTGAAGCTGGTTGAATTAACAACAAACTGTTCTTTACTCTTAAAATGTGTAATAATCAATTATTAAATATAGATAATAATATATTACTCATTGTATTGTTTTCACAGCTGCAGAAGAAATATTAACTCAAACAAAACTCTAAACTTTTCCAAATAATTTGTTATAATAAAGAAAATATCATTTGAATCTTAATTACAGACAGAAAATACAGAAACTGGAATTCATTAATATAAAAATCCTCAACTTGATATCAGACAAAAAAAAAATTTTTCCTTTCAACAATAAAAATGTGCTTTAAACTTCTGGAAACCTGAAATAAAATAAATAAAAGTATCAGACTGTCAGCAAGTACATTTACTCAAGTGCAGTATCAATAATATAAACATGTCTTCATGCAACTGCAGAGCTGTGAGACCTCGGTGCTGTAACAGATGTAGTTAGCAGCAGCTAGGTAGCGCTTAGCTACTTTAGTTAAAGCCCAAAATCACTGAATAGAGGGTATGCGTTTACGTCACTTCCGGCCCGCAGCACACCCCCCTCATTTGGACTGAGTGGCAAAACAAACCGCCCACAACATGTCGAAGGATGGCAGTTGACACAGCGAAACTGAATAAAAATGGATTATCAAAACAAATTGACGTCAGTTGGACTCGACAATGATCCATACGAGCTCCCCAAACCATCTGGTCCACGGACACTGACATGTGGCCAGATATCAGGTATCTGGACATTTATATGTACCTGATTTCAATGCCAGGTAAATACACGGCCAGATTAGCACATTTAAAAATCAATTTATTCAATCAGCCATTAGATTTAAACAGAATTTAAACAGAATCCAAAACTAAACATCATAGCAGAAAATAAGCTGATAAAAAGTCAGTTTACAGCAGTGTTTCTCAACCGGTGGGGCCCCCCCTGGGGGGGCGCGGACACTCTCCCAGGGGGGCACGAGTAGGCTACCTGATGGGAGGAAAAAAAAATCTGAAAAATAAAAATAAAAATCAGGAAAATTCCCCCCCATGTCGAAATGCAAGTGGTTGGACTATTATAACACACAAACAAATCAACCACACAGTTTCATTTCAAATCTACCAATACAGGGGGTAGTATTTTGAGCCTGTGACGTGGCGTCACGTAAGTGCTACTATATAAGCGTCCGCACACGCGTCATAGCCAGTGTTGCCAACTTGGCGACTTTCTCTCAAAATCTGGCGACTTTCCAAATCCTCCTGGTGACTTTTTTGTCAAAAGTGACTAGCAACAAATCTAGTGACTTTTACTGGTGTTATTGGAGACTTTTGTGGTGTTTGGAGACTGACTTGAAAGCACGTATAACTCTGCAGTTACTGTGCTCAACGAGCAGCGGGTGCTGCCGTGAGCCACTCCCCGTCCCCGTCCAAAAGCACTCACAGGTGGTCAGTCTCTTAGTAGCCTCGCGCAGCAGTCCCAGCCTGCAGTCAGAGCAGAGGAGACACACACCACTCCGCGTCCAGGCTGCAAATGAATCGCGCAGACATTGTGCCAAGAACTGCGGATCTTTGCAAGGCAAAGCAGGCTCAGGTCTTACATTAACATTGCCTACCTGCAAGCTTCTGTAAAAAATGCAGATGATATGCCTACTATTAGGCCTAGTAATAATAACACTAATAAAGCATAAATTCAGATCAGAGGTCTGGTGCCAATTCCCAATTATAGCAATAGCCTAGTAATGATAATAGGCCTACTGATGATAATTTCAATTCAATTCAATTTTATTTGTATAGCGCCAATTCATAACAGAAGTTATCTCAGGACACTTTTCAAATAGAGCAGGTCTAGACCGAACTCTTTAAAACATTAATTACAGAGACCCAACAGTACCACTATGAGCAAGCACTTGGCGACAAGGGCAAGGAAAAACTGCCTGTTAAAAGGCAGAAACCTAGGACAGATCCTCCGGCTCTAGGTGGGTGGTCGTCTGTCTCGACCAGTTGGGGTGAACACGACAAACGCAACACACGTGAGCGCGATTTTCCAGCCCGCCAAAAATATATGCCGACTTTTGTTTACAAACATTTTTCTGCACGTTCATTTCCCGCTCAGTTCACAGCATGTGGAAACTACGTCGCCTCCGACGCCAACGCAGGTTAGGGTAGCGAGGTAGCTAGGTAGCATTAACAGGTAACATTACGCTAATTAACTCGCCAAATGATTCTGTCGGCTTCAGTCAGTGAGGACCTGTAAGTAATGCATCAGACGACAGTAAAACGTTTCGTATTACCGCTGTTACTTTATACGATAGAGTTCACATTTATAACGTGCTTGTCCCTATGGTCCCTCCCCTTCCGCTTTGTAGTCAAGATGGCGTCCGTTCATTGCGAGTAGGGTCCATCATTACGCACTGAATTGTTTGACCGTTTTTAGGGGGTCATCTGGGTACTTTCAGTGCACTGACTTTTGGTGTTATCTACACTATATACTTAAAACTAAGTGTTTGAAGTGTGCAAGTAGGCGGAATGAGACACATCCCCGGTCTTTGTACTCAGTGAGGACATAGATTGTCTGTAACGGCCTTCAGAAACACTCGTCGTCAGAAGAGAGAAAGCGTTTGATTGGACGCAGCATTAGTAAACGCCCCCGAGTGCAAGATGAGTCCTCAAGTACTGTTATTGATTATCAGAAAACTGTAAAATACCTTAAAGAACAACTGAAGATACCTGAAACAGGACTTCCTGTCCCTGTTGGACAGAAACTGGAGGAGACTGATTGATTAAAACACTTTGATTGTGACTTAATTAACATTTTGTCACACTGAGAACTTTAACAGAATACTTTGAGTTAATTTATCAGATGATACCGATCGTGTTTTCATTGTCTGCTTCTTGTTGAGGATGTATGCTGTGTGTGAAAACATGTAGTCGTGTAATCCAGAGAAACATGGAGTAGCGTTCGGCGTGCTGCGGCGGCGTTCTCTGGCGAGCCCTCAACAACCTTTTGGATGCAATTATGTGCTGAGAGGCCCCACGAGGGCCCCCATCCACCTCAGAGCGCTCCGTCAAGAGCCCGCTGACAGCTTGGAGCAATGCCCTGCGCCGCAGTCCTTCCATCCTGTTCCAGGACTGGATCCACAGAAACCCCCTCCAACCCCCCTCCAGTCTGCAGCCAAGCCTCCAACGCCACGCCTGCCTGCTGGGGACGGGAGGGATCTCACCCACATTGTTCTAAACAGAGATAAATGCAGGGTTCAGATCCACCTTCAGGACTGACACCTCACCACAGTCCTCCAGGACTCCACTGTGGATCCTGGTCTCTGCTGCCAGACTCTCTGTTAAACCTCGACCCACAGAGGTTTCAGAGTCCGCGGACGCTCTGCTCGACTCGATCTGTGGCGAGGTGCTGCCGGAGGGGGCAGCGGGGGACATGGTTTTAGTGGTGGTTGAACCTGGATCTCAGAAAACCTAAATCTGGATTCACTTAATAACACAGCAGCTGAGCCAGAACTGGATCAGGATCTGGTTCTGTACAGGAGCTGCTTAAAGGGGACGACAATTTATACTGTGATCTACGAATCCCTCTGACCAATCACAGGCCTGCACTGTGTCCACAGGCCTGCACTGTGTTCACATCACCTTTCAGTGTCCAATCAGCTCGCTCAGAACCTCCAAACAGGTACCAGGTACGAGTCCTCACAATTAGATAATTAGATAAATGTGAGGATGAAATAAATGCGATTATTAAATAAATGGAGTGTAACAGTTTTACCCACAATGTATGGAGGACCACAACTGCCAAAATCCAAAATAAATAAATGACTGTGGAGAACAAATGGTTCAATTAAATTGAATTTGTATAGGCCCAATTAATAACAGAAGTTATCTCGGCAATTACTTTCTCCAGAATCTTTCCTCCTTAGAGGAAGGGGAGGTTAGTTTCATGGTGACTGTATTAAGTTATTATATTTTATTTAGTCACCTTA